GATGTGTCTTCAAGCCTCGATCCTCAACTCTACAGTTTCCATCAATCACCATCGTCTTGATAGGAAGCTACGTGAACATGTTAGAGAGCACCGATTAGGTAAGCTCATCATCCATTTGAGAAGCTTTTTATAGTAACTTTATCAATCTCAGACTTTTTCTTTTCTTTTCTATTACTCTTCATCTCCTAAAACAGTCCAGTCTCTAGCTAACAACAACCATACTCTTGATTTGTGAAATGCTAAATCCTAAACCACCAGTTTATCATCTCCTATGACACTTTCCACAGATCAACACACTGATCTCAATCCAAAAACAGAAAGAGATCAACAGAAACGATGAAAGAAGATATATAGATTTACGGGAATTCACCTGATTATCCTGTGGCTTCTTCTTGTAGTAAGCCAAAAGACGAGGCTCCAACACGAAATACCTCATATGAATGTACGATCGTCCGATCTTCCTCCTTCCATATCTCACCATCCATCCCTCATACACAACCTTAGACATTTTTTTTTCCTCACTTCTCACGACCCACGAAGACGAAGAAAAATCAAGGACGGAGAAAATGTCCCACAGAAATTCGGAATCTTAGATCTAAATCGGATAAATGTATTTCCGCGGGAGATCAAAGACCTGATTGATCATCGGCGCTCCGGCGCCGGAATCTGGTTGTTGGATTCTCAGATTCTTTTCCGAAGATTTATGAGTCCGCAAAGTTTTAAAATTTCCGTAAAATAAAAATTTTCAAACGACGACGAGATTCAACTTTGATAGAAAAAAAAAGAACTCGAAAGTTAAATAGAGAGAGACGCAGTGAATGTGTCCTGAAGAAAAGTAAATTAATTGATATTATTAAGTACAATAATTAAGAATTTTAAAAACATATTAACTGAGTAAATCATGCCAGCTTTTGCACATTTCACGTTCCGCTAAAAGGCAAACATTCATGTGTAATTGATTAGTTGACGAGTGTTAAGATTCGAGATGCTTAACGGTATATATAAATCATCATTAAATAAAGAAAGCAATCAATAACTTAATGAAAAGTTCCTTTTTCTTTCACATGACACATGAATAAAAAGTAGTCAAATGGACTCGAGATCGAATTTTTTACATTATGTAAATATTGAAATTTTACAGAGGATTCGAAAGAAAAAAAACTTGAAACAGAGATATAAAATTAAAAACATAGTATCATTACCGTTAATTTATTAATTTTGTTTATAAATCTGAAAAATCTGAAAAGAGTCTTTTGCTCAATAAGGTGAAATGATAGATTCTATGAGCTCTTGTAGAGGCGCGAGTTCTTTCTTGTCGATCAGTCCAAACTCCTGCCAAAAACCAAAAGATAAAAAATGGCCGATTAATTAGTATACATTTAAACAATCTACAGAATATATAGAATTAGAGCCAAGTTAATAACTGAGAGTGAAATAAAAAACAGGGAACTGACATGAGTAAAGAGGATGAAGTGCTTGAAGCAAGTGTTGAGATGAGCCTCTTCTTTAAGGCTAACGATTTTCTGGAAATGAGAGTGGTAAATGTGGGCGTAAACACGGAACAGTCGTTTAAAGATTGTCTTCACCACATCCTTGAAGTTCTGAGGAAATGGTGCTCCTGGAGACAAAATTAGTTTCACCAGAAAATTAACATCTTTTGGACTTGATATTGATTCGATTTCTTCAGATCTTATGGACATATTTATAATTTACCAAGCCTTTGAGGAAACAAGGTCTCATCATCGAGTTGGGTCTCGATCCAATCCATCAAGTACTCGACATACTTTGGAGCAGAAACCTCTATTGGCTTCTTGATCTGTACACCATCTGCCCATCTATACTCATACCTGCAAAATTTTGGTGACTGCATTACGAAAAGGAAAATGCAAAGAAACAAGAACATCGGTTTGATTGGTCATACGCACAACAGAGAATGATGAAGTACAAAGGTTCATAGTTGGCAACATTCATTGTAAAATAGATAAAACTTTGATCTAGATTTTACTCCAGAGATCCAAAAACATGACCTATACTATATTCTCTCTAATCTTCACAGTTGCAAATATAGCATAACAAGTTAACAGATGTAATCACACAGCATACCACTTGAAGAAGACCCAAATATGTAATCACGGTGAGGAGAAACTATATATGCTTTCAAGATGTTAACGAATTTTCTGAACGGTCCTCAGATAACTAAATTTAACCTCGAAGCATGAAGATTTCATTTGTTTTGAATAAAGCATAGAAAAAAAGAGATGAGACTATACTTGGGACCAGCAGTCATTGTAGGACAGTTATCTGGTGTGCAGAACTCTGTAAGCGTACCGTATAGCAAGTTCACCTGATTAAAAAAATCCACAGCTGAAACAAACAAACAAAAAAAGTTAAAACCATCAACAAAATTATTTCGCTTTATGCTATTTCAATAATTGTATTGTGTAGAATATAAAAAAAAAATTAGCAATAATCAACTAAGTATATACACTACGTCACTAAGAGTAAACATGAGAGTGCAAGAAGAGTGTTACTCACTGTTAACTGCAAGCCATTCATTTGCATCCTCCCCTGGAGGAAGCCTTACAGCTTCTCTCAAGTTCCCACTTCCTAAAGTGGCATCTATATGCTTCCGAAGCTGTGCACCCTATATCACAGAAACAAACACAAAAACAAGAAACCTTCAGCAAGAAGAATCAAGAACACCAAAACTGCAGAAGTTTCAAAGATATGAACAACTTAAGAGTACGGTCAAATAGTTTACAAACCTTGCTTCCAGAAGGCGCACTCTTTTTAGGGCGGAAAGTCTTTTGATTTCTATGAAGAAAGTGAAAACAAAAAAAAAAAGAGATGTCATCAAACAGATCATTTTAAAAATCTAGAAGACATAAATATGAAAATTAACTGGCTCTGAGTAAGATCTGAAGCAAAATTCTCAGCACCAATTACTCAAATCGCGTGATCTAATCACCTTAAAGCTTACAAACGTCAATGAACAGCTTACAAACGCTATCGTAAAAAATATGGCTTCAAGTTCATAAAACCAGGAAATGGATCCAAATTGCCCAATTCATAAAATTAGATTCACACTTTTCTCAATAGATGTAAAACACTCACTCGGATCATCAATTCACTGAAAGAATATTGAACCACGAACCTGAATTTAGTACCAAAAAAAGTTCACACGATATGACAAAAAAAAAAAAAACGAATCAGCTACCGATAGGCTAAGGTTCATACTGGAGATAATATATTCTGATTCGCTATCACAGAACAACACACAGAAACCACATCATTTCGATTAGGGAAAAGAAAATCACACACGAATCCGTGATCCTGCACAATACAATGTACGGGATCCTATGAAACGACGAAAGAAGTAAGTCTTTGATAAGAGATTGAATCACAGAAGAAACAAGATCGATAGTTTATTAATTAAACAGATCTGAGATTGCAAACAATCGCAAAAGCTCCACAAGTTTATCTTAATTAAGCATAAATTACGCAGAGAAACAAGAAAATTCACCTCCCCAATCCAAACAGACTCATGGCGAAAAAGCGATCGAGAGAGAGAGAGAGGGAGAGAAAGAGTCGAATAGTTTTTATATCCTCAGGTGGAATCGAGAAAAGATGTTTTACAAAAAGAAAAGGAGTCTGAAAGAAGACGGGAAAAGTAACTGTATTTATATATGATGAAGACGAAAGTCTCTCGTTGATTCTCTCTCTCTCTCTCTCTCTCTCTCTCTCTTCTTGTTAGCTGGCATATTTTCAAAAAACCCCTCAAGTTCCAAAACATTTGGACTTTACACCCTTAGAATCACTTATTAGCTGGCAAATTTAAGTTACTACACAAGATTGGAAAGTTGGAATTGTGACAATCCAAATCGTCTTCATGCGCAAGCAAAATACCAAAAAAAAGAAAAAAAAAAAGTTGTTTCCTCCGTCACGGACTTACGGTTAAATGTAAGTATTTTGTTTTCACTTTTTAACCAAGTTTGATACTTCACAGTTTACAATTGTGTATTTTTTACTCTCCTCTATTTTGATCCATAAAACCAATCAATGGATTACATTTTTCTCTGCATCATGGATCATATGCTTGAATGTGGAGATCCTTAAAACAAGGGCTTTCTTTATTGTGAAATGTACCAAGTATCAAACACTTTTTAAAAGGGTATGTCTTCAATTTAAACTTAAAGACACACATATGTATGTATGTGTATATTTATACCACATAGGCTACTCTGTATAGGTTTACACTTACCTTTATGCGGGACATCGTACCTCTCGTTGATGTATTTCTTTCTTCGGACTAACTTTAACGAGTTAGAACAAAACAAATGAAAACATAGATGATGAAGAATATTTTTTTTTTCTCCTCCATTGTGGCCTTACCTCTCAAGTTCTGAGTCTTAGGTTTCAAAATCCACACAATTTGCTCCGCACTCAAGAATCATCATTCATGGCATTGGCAGACTCCTTCTGCTCTTCAGATAACCAAATCCAATATCCAGAAACCTTTTAGTGTTTTAGAATAGAAAAAAAAACAGAGAGAAAGTGTAGACAGTTTCAGGTAAAAGCTTTTATAGCTTTAACTTTAGAGTAGCTTCAAAACCTATAATCAGTTTCCATGTGACATATATACAGTCGAATTCTCCTTTCTTGGTAAGTTGCTTATGCTCAGAAGAAAAGAACAAAGACAAGAAAGAATAAAGAAAAGAAAAGAGAAAAAGATAATATTTGATTATGGGCAAGGTATAATAAACCTGTTAGTGTAACAATTACACCTGATGGTCTTTGTTTCTATTTCAAGACTAAAAACAATAGAAACCCCATAAAGAAATACTTATAAACTTTCTGTGGAAGAACGTTCACTAACCTCGAACTCTTCCATGTTACTACTGTAAACATCCACTGTGTGCTCCTAAATCAAGTTTCAACTCTAGTAACTCACGTGAATCTCTGCTTCAACTGTCTCGTGGCCCAACGAAGAAGAAGACAAGATGGGTGAGATGATTCCACCGCCCGTGAAGAAAATTTGGGACAAATGGAACATTCGTGCTGTCATAATACTCAGTCTCTTCCTCCAAACCATCCTCATCTTCTTTGCACCGAGCCGAAAACGCACAGCAAAGAAGCTCTTCCTCGTCCTCATTTGGTCAGCTTATCTTCTTGCTGACTGGGCGGCTGATTACGCGGTTGGGCAAATCTCAGACAGTCAAGAAGAAGCAGCTGACGAACATTCCAAGAACCGTGAGCTGTTGGCTTTTTGGTCACCGTTCCTTCTCTTGCACCTCGGAGGTCCAGACGCCATTACAGCACTCGCCCTGGAGGATAATGAGCTTTGGAACCGACACTTGTTCAGCCTTGTCTGTCAAGCGATCGCTACTGTCTATGTGATCCTGTTGTCTACACCGAACAGGCTTTTGACTCCAACGGTGATCATGCTTGTGGGAGGAGTGATCAAGTACGTCGAGAGAACAGCTGCGTTGTTCTCAGCGAGTCTTGACAAGTTCAAGGACTCTATGCTACAGAAGCCTGATCCTGGAGCTAATTACGCGAAGCTCATGGAGGAATATGACGCTAAGACGGAGATGAATATGCCGACGGAAGTGATCGTGATGGAGGATCCAGAGAAAGGAAGGGAAGGCAACACACCAGTTATGCCTAGAAATGAGTTGACTAACCTTCAAGTCGTTCAGTATGCTTACAAGTACTTTAAGACCTTCAAAGGTCTCATTGTTGATCTTATCTTCACTAATAAACAACGCGACGAGAGCAGGAAGTTTTTCGACTTGCTGACCCCAGAAGAAGCCTTAAGGATCATCGAAGTCGAGCTCAGCCTCATCTATGAAAGCCTCTTCACCAAAGCAGAGATTCTGCATAACTGGACTGGAGTTGGGTTCCGGTTCATAGCTTTGGGGTGCCTTGTTGCGTCTCTCTGTCTCTTTAGAATGAAAAACGAAGATCAGTACGAGGGATTCGACGTCGCTCTTACTTACGCGTTGCTCATCTGTGGAATAGCTCTTGATTCCATTGCTCTTCTCATGTTCTGTGTATCTGACTGGACCTTCGCTAGACTGAGGGATCTAAAGGAAGACGTGGACGAGGGGGACACCTGTGCAGACAGAGTTCTCAACTGGGTCCTCGGTTTCAGGGCGCTGAGGTGGAAAAGATCCAAATGTTTCCAGGACGGACATGAAGTTCTCGACAGAAACTTTCTGTTCCGCAGATGGTCCGAGTATGTTCATGCTTACAACTTGATTGGATACTGCCTCAAGATACGTCCCAAGAGAATCCATCCTACAAAGGGTATGATACACAGTTTCTTTCAGAAGATCATTCACGTTTTGTCCATAGATGCTGTCATCGACAATGCCACCAGAGGAACGACGCAATGTTTCAGGGAGATAGAACAAGGAACTCGCCAGTTTCATAAATGGAACCCTGTAAGATTGTTTCTGTTTCTCTGGTTCTCACTTCAACATCTGCTTGGACGTATGATCGACGAAGTCCTAGACTTTTTCGGCACCAAAGATTTGGTTGAAGAGATAAGATTCACAACGAGTGATCGCCTCACCAGAGAACTATGGGAGCTCATATTCACACAGGTGCAACACAAACACCGTTTCGCCGAAGACCAAGAAAGTGCCAAGGGTATATCTTCAGCTAGAGGAGACTGGACTCTAGTTGAAACATCAAGCAAAAACAGAAAAGGCGGATCAGAGTCAGACCACGCGAAGCTTCTTCGGTATGTGACAGATAAAGATTACGACCAGAGCATTCTGATGTGGCACATCGCTACAGAGCTCTTGTACCAAAGCCAAACAGACGCAAAAATCACAGACAAGCAAAAACACACCAACAGAGAGTTCTGCAAAACCCTGTCTGACTACATGATGTACCTCCTCATAATGCAGCCCACGCTGATGTCAGCTGTCTCTGGAATAGCAAAGATACGTTTCAGAGACACGTGTGCAGAAGCGAACGAGTTTTTCCAGAGGCGGCATATCGACAGAAGAAGATACGAGAGAGACAACCTCGTGAGAGAAGCCAGCGAAGCTATTCTCAAAGTCAACACTGATGTTGAGCCTATGGATGTGAAAGGAGACAGAAGCAAATCCGTGCTGTTCGACGCGAGCGTGCTTGCGAAGGAGCTGGAGAAAGAAGGAGAGAACATGTGGGAGGTTGTGAGCAAAGTGTGGGTTGAGATACTTTGCTACGCAGCAACTCACTGTGACTCCAAAGAGCATGCTTCTCAGCTCAGCAAAGGCGGTGAGCTCATCAACTTCGTCTGGCTATTAATGGCTCATTTCGGACTCGGAGACCAGTTCCAAATCAACAGGGATGATGCAAGAGCCAAACTGATCGTGGCCAAGTGATTTTATCCATGAAAAAAAACTACACAAAAACCATCAATAAATTAGTTTTCTCAATCTGTCTTTTTCCTGTGTTTTTTGTTGTTTTTTTTTTTTTGACTTTTTGCTTCATTGAATAATCTGCACTTGTAGTGTAGTAAACTTCTTTGATGCTTGTGAACATGAAAATCATTTCCTTTGTTATCAATTTCACTCACGATTTATAGAATCTTCTCAGTAATCAAACATGAGCACAAGCAGACGAAGATAAAAATTTCTACTCAGTAATGACGCAATTCCTTTAAAACCCTAAAATCCCTAAAGTCGATTAGATTCTTCACCACATAAACTACTTATAAGAAACCCCACAGCGATATAAACACAGGAATCACACAATTCTCCAAGAACACTAAATCCCCAAATCTCGATTTGAATCTTCACCACATAAACTACTATTACTAATAGAAAAAAAAAACATCAGAGAACAAAACAGTGACGAAGCTTCGTGATTAGTGATTACCATTGAACGTCTTTACTCTCTTCCTTGTTCATCTTCCACCGGCGATTTTGGCGCCTGATTCTGACTCCTAATCTGTCCTCAGATATAAAGAAATAGCGAAACAAAATCATCGATGTTAGCTTGGGCTGAGTTATGCTAATGGGCTATTACCTTGGGCATGGGCTTTAACTCCAACCACATGGTTATGCTATGCATATTGCATATTGATATTTAATTATTTACAAATATTTTTTTGTTCACATTTACTTTAATAAACTAACCTGTTATTCTCACAAGTGTACGATTCGTAGACCAGGGTGTCTAAACAAATGTTCTCAATCATAAAATTGAATAAAAAATAATTTATGATATTTTATATTTTAGATCAGTGTTTAAATTAAAATATTGGTGTCTAAATTAAGAATGCACACGTGGCAAGTTGAGAGTGTGAAACACTTCATCCTGGTTATTAAATTCGAAAGGTTATTCCACGCCCAGATTATTAAGTAAACCAAGTCTTTCAGTCCGTTTTAAGAGTCTTATTCTTTACACAAGTTCATTTAATAAGTAATTCTGAGATTCATAAGAGTTTAGAGTCAATATGCAAATAATGAACAAAACAACTGGATTTTTATTTATATAACAAGTAGGATTCGATACAAAGTTAGAGTTTTGCACTATAGGCTATTACAATGATCGATCCTAACTATCCAGACTGTTCCACACCCATCCGCCTTTGCCTAATCTCGCGCGTCTAAGCTTTTTCCTTCCCACAGTCACTTTCTTTCCCTGAAATGGCCAAAGAAACGTAAGTAATCCATTCTCTCAATGGATGCATGAATTCGCCCTAACATGCTTATATGATCAAGGCAATAATGCAAGTTTCTGATGCCTTAGTTAATATCCCCAAAAATCCCCTTTATTTCTCGGTTAATTCGAATCTACAGAACTTTCTCTCGAATACAGTCGAAACGGTGCGAGTCAATCACGACTGTCCGCAGACCATTACAACCATCCGGAGTTGTCCGAGTATGGACTAATCAGGCCGTGACTGCCTATCGGCCATCATCACGCCTTTCCCGCGCATGATCGATCTCGAACAATCTCTCATGGCCGGGTATACAGAAACGAGAGTTTAACCCGAGAGAAGAGGAGTTTCGCCGAGGGTTTTCTAACCGATCCGAAGACTCTCTCGGTAAAAACCGATAGTCATGAATCCCCTCGGCTATCTCCCGGACAAATCACGCACCTTCGCCGACAGTTCCTGAGAATTGGCGAGTTTCTCCCGATCGGTTGCCGTAGAAGTCTCCATCTCCGAAGCACTTCTTCCGGACAAACTTTCTCCCGAGAATGACCCACTCGATCTGGCGTTATCTCCGATACTCCGACTATTGCCGAGGAACGCTCGGAAGTTCTCCTTTTTCTCTCGATGAACTTTACTTTCTCTCGGGTGTTTTTTTGAATCTCTGGGAAATATCCTGTGAAAAGCATGTGTATTCGCACGAATGGCTAAGCGGATCTATTTATAAGATCTCGGCCATAACCACCTCATTAAACGAATGGTTGCCACGTCCCATTCCGCCAACGGTCATATTACTCTGATATAAAACCGTCCCGCAGATTTGGCACGTACCTTAGAGACTTATTCGAAAACTCATCTTCCGTTCGTCCAGCTAGCTAACTTAGCTAGCTTCACTCCCCGGATAGCTAGCAGAACACTCGACTAGCTGACTCAACTATCGTGAGCTAAATCCAGCTAAGTTGAGCTTCCCGTCAGCTGGCCCAGCTTGATTAGCTCGACCTTCAGCTCATTTCAGCTCGATTGAACTCCGTGAGGTAACTTGTATCTTTTTCCCGACCTTTTTCTATGTTTTTCTCCCAATACCTGGCTAAGTCTTTTCTTCTCGAACTTAACCCTTCTTTTTGGACCATGGAACGGATCAATTGATTTTTCCCAGCAATTTTATTTCTATTCCGACCATGGCCCATCCCGGCGATCCTAGCGTGGATCAGGGATGCCACAAAGTGGACAGAGTGGATGATAGAAAATTCCAGTTTCGCAATTGCATTTTTATAATTTATATGTTTTCATATATTACATTTTTGAAAATGTATTATATTTTAAAAGTTGTTAACAAAAGGTTTTAACCATCAAAAGTGTCTCCATTGTATGCTCTAAAAACAACAAAATACTATAAAGTGTATTAAATACATAAAGTGCACAAAATATTAATAATCAATCAATAAGATCTATGCTAATGGTGCCTCTATTGGGTTTGCTCTTAGTTTCTTACTATATAAAATCCTAGTATATTTTTCTAATTTTTTTTGGGTCAATATACTCATTTTCTTAAAACGGATATATATATATATATATAATGATCTTTTCTCACTTCTCCTTCGACCACCTCAGCAACTACATCATTAATTTTTTATCATTTAAATTATTTTAAAATATAAAATAACATTAACATCTATATATATAAAGTAGGTTTATATATCTTCTAGTGCTGCCACCCCAACAACTACATCATTAATTAATTTTCATTAAAATTCTTATAAAACATAAAATAATATTAATATTTAATATAAAAAATAGAAAAAATAATTATAATATGTTGTCAGAATTTTTTTTAATATACATTAACTTTGAATATTTCAAGATTCAAAACTGAAATTTACGAGTGTGTGTTAGGAATTGGTAATTAGAAAGATAGAAAACAATAAAAAATTAATATTAACATTAAATATAAAAAATAACAAACATAAAAAGACAATTATAATGTGTTGTCAAAAAATAAAAATCAACAAAATACAAAATAGCAAAATAAAAAAATAATGATATACATTAACTCTGAGTATTTCATGATTCAAGACGGAAATTTACGAGTGTGTGACGAGAATTAGTAATTAGAAAGACAGAAAATAATAAAAATTAGTATTAATATTCGATATAAAAAATAGCAAACCTAAAAATATAATTATAATATATTATCAGAAAATAAAACATAGAAATAATGATATACATTAGCTGTGAGTATTTCAAGATTCAAGACAGAAATTTACGAGTGTGTAATAGATATTTGTAATTAGAAAGATAGAAAATAATAAAAATTAATATTAAAATTCAATAAAAAATAGCAAAAAAAAATATAATATGTTGTCAGAAAATAAAAAAAATAAACAAAATACAATATAAAAACCACTAAATAATGATATACATTAGCTCTCACTATTTCAAGATTTAAGGTAGAAATTTACGAGTGTGTGACGGAAATTGATAATTAGAAGGACAGAAAATAATAAAATTAACATTAACATTCAATATAATAAATAGCAAACATAAAATGTTACTTATAATATTTTATCAAAAAAACAAAAAAGTAATAATGATATACATTAGCTTTGAGTATTTCAAGATTAAAAGCAAAAATTTAAGACTATGTGATGAGAATTGATGATTAGAAAGATGGGAAAAAATTCTAAAGGAAATCCAAGAAAATTGGAAAAAGAAATTCGTGTAACGAGACAGGTTCAAAAAATTGCATTATCTAAAATCTATTCACAAATTTTCAATAATTTGTATTAAAGTCAACTTCAAAAAAAATATTTTGAGAAAATTCCGGAAAGTCGATGATATTTTTAAAAGTTATAGAATTTTAAAAAAATTTAATTCTCAAATAGATAATTTGGGTATCTAATATCATATATGTTCTCAATTTTTATCTGTTTGAATAAACCAAATAATCTTCAATGGATAATATTTGATCGAAATTGAGATAAGACAAGAAATATGTGAGAAGTAGAAATCCATCTTTAAATTCTCAAGAATATTCTATATATATAAAGTTACATTTTCTCACTTCTCCTTCCGCCACTTGAGCAACTACATCATTAGTTGTTTATCATTTAAATTATTTTAAAACACAAAATAACATTAAAATCTATATATATAAAGTAAGTTTTTATATCTTCTAGTGCTGCCACCTCAGCAAGTACATCATTAATTAATTTTCATTAAAATTCTTAGAAAACATAAAATAACATTAATATTTAATATGAAAAATAGAGAAAAAATTATAATATTTTGTCAGAAAAAAATTATATACATTAGCTTTGAATATTTCAAGATCCAAACAGAATTTTACGAGTGTGTGTTGGGAATTGGTAATTAGAAGGATGGAAAATAATAAAAATTAACATTAACATTCAATATAAAAAAAATAATAAACACAAAAATACAATTATAATGTGTTGTCAGGAAATAAAAATCAACAAAATACAAAATAGCAAAACAAAAAAAAAAATAATGATATACATTAGATCTGAGTATTTCTTGATTCAAGACGGAAATTTACGAGTGCGTGATGAGAATTAGTAATTAGAAAGACAGAAAATAATAAAAATTAATATTAACATTCAATATAAAAAATTGCAAACATAAAAAGATAATTATAATATGTTGTCAGAAAATAAAAGAGACGTTTACAAATATACACACTTTTTGGATAAGTGCTTACAATTTAGACACTTTTTGACTATAGGTACACTTCTTTTTATATTTTACACACCTTAGTCCCTTATTTACCCTCTGTATATTATATTGTTAAATTTTTACCTAAGATTATTTTATTGTTACTGTTTAATTTGTGGTCGAAGAATGAAAAAAAAAACAGAAATAACGGAGGATCTGAAAATAATGCGACAGCGGAGAACACACATGGTGGTAATGATCTTGCAAATAGTATAATGGTGGAGAACCACCACAATGGTAGCAATTCTGAATATGAAATCAAAGACGAAAAAGAGCTTGATCTTCCGTCTCTTCCGTACTAACCATCGATTTTACCGACCTCGTTGGATCTCCGACGAACTTGATGCAAACTTTGATGAGATTGCAAGCATAGATCCATCTAGCCTCTCATGTAAATCAATTTTTTTTCTTTTCTGCTTGTGTGATATGAGGGCATGATTAGTAGAATTTGTATTATTATTCTTGAACATCATCATCCATACTGATATGTCCATACTGTTTCATCCATATTAGATTATAGCTGTGTTTTATGGTTTCTGAAACATGTTATTTTACTTTCTTTATCATTTGGATCAGGGGCAGGCTTTTTTTATCATTTTTGATTAGGAGCAGGAAAAGTGAAAAGATAATACACTAATGTATACAGGCTAAAGAGTAATGAACACCCTCTCATGGATAATTTCTTGTGGTGCGAGAGATTCAGAAGGCTCCTAATAAAATTCACCATATATGCTGGCACACCATCATCCATATTGATGTGTTTATACCGTTTCATCATCATCATCATCCATATTGATGTGTTCATACCGTTTCATCCATGATAAATGGTAGTTGTGTTTTATGGGTGCTGAAACATGTTCTTTTACTTTTTTATCATTTGGATCAGGGGCAGGCTTTCTTATCATTTAGATCAAGGGCAGGAAAAGTGAAATGATGATACACTCATGTATATAAGCTATTGAAGAAGAGTAATGGACACCCTCTCATAGGCCCTTTCTCGTGGACAAATTATATGGACACCTTCTCATGGACAGATAGTATGGACATCCTCTCATGGACATCTTCTCATGGACGATGGTGCCAAACTCGAGTACTTAGAGATCAACGATGATAACGGTACTCGTGAAAATTAATATATTTTTTCCACGGTCCTTTGTCCACGGTGTCTTGTTCATGGTTAATACAAGTAATTGGAAGAATGTTTTTGATCAAAAAAGTAACCATGGAAAAATGTACACTCAATTTATAAAGAAGGAAACATCTATACTCTTCTCCATCTCTTTGAATTATTTTGTATGTTTCATTGCGAATTCTTAAAAAAAAAAAATCTATCTTAAATTGAGGACCTTTGGGATTCAAGAAGATATGAAAATAAATGTTACAATTCGAGTTTTTGTTCCCATGTTTTGATCCTCCTAGAAAGTTAATGTAAGATGTAAAGACTGTCATAAAAGCATCTAAATATCTGCAACTATTTATATATCATTCAAATCTGTAAAGACATTGAGCTAAGCTAACAACAAGTCCATAAATAATTGTCCACGTTTCCTTGTCTACGGTGCCATGTCCATGGTGCCTTGAGAAAAATAGCAGCAGCAATGGCTCCAGATGATATGCCAACCTGAAAATGACACATATATGAACAATTGTGCTATATGTGTATATGTACATATGGATAAAGCTACTTGTGTAATGGACACAAATCATATGGACAAAAACCAAACATACACAACTAAAAGAGTTTGTACACATGTTAATGCAAACTAATAATCATTAGTAAATCTGTGAAATTTCGAGAACGAGAATGGGTGTTTGTGTTTAAGAATAAGTGAAAAGTTATCGGTAATATTGGAGCTGGTGGAAGTAGGCAGAGAATCTAAAAACAGAGTTGGCTTTTGATGGGTGGATGAAATTCAGAGGTAAAGTTTCTATGGGGAGAAAAATTTAGTGGATTGATGAATGTGGATGTGCATCATAAGTTCTGGATGATGAATGTGTTATCATGGATGATCATTGATGAATGAGCTATAATACTATCTCTTTGCAACTTTTACTTATGTACGGCTATGAATCGATCGTGGATGCATCTTTCCCTGAAATGAGTGAGTGATATATATATAACTGTGGATGTAAACATGTGTATGATGTGAAAACATAAGATAGTATGTTTGGAGAATATGCTTTTTAAAAACATGTGGATCATGGATATGTTTCTATGTACAATGTTATAGGGTATGTTTGTGTGGATATTGAGTTGTGGACAATGTGTGTGTGTGAAAAAGCAAATCACAATCTCGTGCATAACTTAAACTAAGAATAAAAGTTCAATAATTTAAGCGATGGTATCTACATAGTCAAACATGTGTGGATAAAATTGCATATACAGTGCTTGTGATATTGAATAGAGAAGAATAAGATTTTTGTTGGAACTTGGTCCACGCCATCTTGTCCACACAATATTGTACATGCATCTCAATATCGATGGATAAGAACCGCTTCACTTTCCATATCGAGAATTAAGAAGACGATGGTAGTTGTATTCGAGTAGATCTGAGAAATTTGGTTAAAGTCGTAGTGTGAACTGTGGTTTTAGAGTTTTTTAGTAAGTATGTGTTCATAAAAGAGCTTTAACGAGAGCTGTTAAGAGATTTATATGGGATCAAAGTAAGAATCAAGTCTTATGGGATTAGGATTTTCCAGATCCAATTGCCAATTGGTGGATTAAAATTGTTCATGACAGTGGATTGCGTCTTGGGTTAAAAACAAACGAGAAATCAAGAGATGAAATATGAAAATCAGGGAGAGGTGCAACAAGAAGAGAACCCAATCATTGCCAGTGGAAAAAGATACAATGGTTTTTGTGATCAGCGATGAAATCTTAAGATTTTTTTTTTGGGTGATGATGGTATGCTTATTTTTTTATAATAGAAATTGTAAAAATATAAAATTGTTAGCAAAGAGTAAAAGTTGTGTAAAGGATATAACCATCTTTCTAAATGGAGAAAGTGTGCCATATGTTAGATGTGTGTTACTTTGTAAACTAAACTCAAAAAAGTGTGCTTGGATGTAATTATCTCAAAATAGAACATCAACACTACTATAAAAGAAATAATGATATACATTAGCTTTGAGTATTTTAAGATTCAAGCCAAAATTTTACGAGTGTGTAATAGATATTGGTAATTAGAAAGATAGAAAATGATAAAAATTAATATTCACATTCAATAAAAAATAGCAAAAAAAATATAATGTGTTGTCAGAAAATAAAAAAATAAACAAAATACAATATAAAATACCAATAAATAATGATATACATTAGCTCTGACTATTTCAAGACTTAAGGTGGAAATTTACGAGTGTGTGACGGGCATTGATAATTAGAAAGACAAAAAAATAAAAATTAACCATAACATTCAATATAAAAATAGCAAACATAAAACGTTAACTTATAATATTTTATCAAAAAAATAAACAATAAAATAAAATAATAATGATATACATTAGCTTTGGGTATTTCAAGATTAAAAGTGAAAATTTAAGAGTGTGTGATAGGAATTGGTAATTACAAAGATGGAAAACAATTTCTAAAAGAAATCCAAGAAAATTGGAACAGAAAATTCGTGTAACGAGATGGGTTCGAGAAATTGCATTATATAAAATCTATTCACAAATTCTCAATAATTTGTATTAAATTCAACTTCAAAAAAATATTTTGCGAAAATTTCAGAAAGTCGATGAAATTTTAAAAAATTATATATTTTTAAAAAATTTAATTCTCAAATAGATAATTTGGATATCTAATATCATATATGTTCTCAATTCTTATCTGTTTGAATAAACCAAATAACCTTGAATGGATTATATTTGATCGAAATTGAGATAAGACAGAAAATTCAAAATGAGTACATTGAAAAAATATACAATCATAAAATGTCCAAAACTAGATACAATAAATATTACAAAATACATAAAATGATAATCAAATTCCCGTGTTGTGCAGATCACAAATTAGAAATTTGAAAAAGATGGAAAATTCGAGAGAGGTACATGTGAGAAGTAGAATTCCAACTTAAAATTCTCAAGAATATACGATATAACAAATTTAGTATAAAAATATATAAAAAAGAATCACATAGCTGCAAGTAGCGCGGATCACCAACTAGTTAGAGTATATTTTCTAACTATTAACTTATTTTTATATAAACAATCAAAATAGAACATTTATATGTTAATTAAGATATCTTTCTTCGACAAAAGAGAAAGAAAACCTTTCTAATTATTATAGCGAATTAGCGACAACAACCATTATAGTAACATCAAACAAAAAAATAGTAACCATCGACAATGTCAATGAAAAGGAGGTTTCTAAGCGCTCACTGTAATTTAAACATTTATTAATCTAATGCACTCACGAGTCACGAACATCTCTATTGTTTATATTTTTTTCACTTCACGGCGTAAAATTTAACCAAGCTCTTTTTCAAAAAAACAAAAAAAAAACAAAAATAACCCAAAAAGAGAAAATTCTTGCACCATTTAAGTAATGTGTGGGCAAGACTAAAGTTCGATTTTCTTGATTTTATTATCAACAAGAAAAGAATATATTATTCTGACACACACACAAACAAAAGCCGTTAATTAAAGAAAAAGTTACCGTAGAATATAAGAAAGGAATGCAAAATAACGTAGGAAAACCTAATTCACGTGTTATTAAATAATAGCTTCATTTATAAAATTCCGGTCAAATAGTTTAAATATATACTAACAATTATTCTAATCCCATATATATAACACTGAGTGAGAGAACACAAAACAGCAAATTTGATACTTAACGAGCTTATCACTTCCAAAGAAAGAAAACCAGAGTACGTAACAACAATGCGAGTGATTCCAACACCAATCAAAAAAATCTTAGACAAATGGAACATCAGAGGACTTGTAATACTGTCTCTGGTGTTTCAAACGTCGCTTATCTTCCTCGCACCGCTGCGAAAACGCACATCCAAAAAGCTGCTCGCCGTGATTCTATGGACATCGTATCTTTTAGCGGATTGGACCGCTAATTATGCGGTGTCTCAGATCACCAAGAACCAAGGGAAGGAACCAGAACCTGATGCTCCTCCGATGAACAAGAAGCTACTTGCTTTGTGGGCACCGTTCTTGTTGTTGCATCTTGGTGGTCCGGACACGATAACTGCGTTGGCCCTCGAAGATAATGCTTTGTGGGCACGTCATTTGTTTGGCCTCATTTCTCAAGCGCTTGCAGGTAAGTAAACTATACGGTGTAAAAAAAAGATAAGAGATTGAACGCTAGTTAGTGTGATCTTGGCTTATTATTCTTGGAAAAGTGAAACCATTTTGAGATATGAGATATCGTACCGATGCTATTGCTATACTAGTTCTGCAGAATCAATTATTCTTGGAAAAGTGAAACCATTTCGTCATATTAATGGAAAAGATAAGAGAAGTTATATCATAGTTTCGTCGCTGGTTTTTTTTTTATTCTTTTTTCACATCTCTGTCCAAAATCTAGACTAATTTGCAGATGTGTGGAAATTAAGTTGATCCGATTAGTAAGAAGTGTGGCTGTATTTTTCTATTTTGAAGTGTAACTTTCACAATTGTTACTAGCCGTTATAGAAAGAAATGAAGCATTATTCCTTACTAAGAGCACCTCTTTACTAAATATGGTAATATGTAATGTGTTTTTCTTCTTCTTTCTTCTTATAACCCATCCAATCAAAGCTCTCTAAAGTGTAGAGAAAACCATCAAATAGTGCTTAGCACTAGTCCAACACCGTAATATTCAAAAGATTCAAAAGAAATAAAAACTTTCTCAGTATGAATAAAAAGATGGAAAAACACTTAAGAAAAAACTTGAAAGAACTTGAGAGAATAAAAGAACTCATGAAGAACACTATTTCTTTACTTGTTCAACTTTTCATAATTACAAATGATGGAGGAGTTAGCTATTCATATACTCTACTTATTACAAAATATCTTACGTTCATTCTCCTAATCTCTAAAATTCTTTATAATAATATCTATATTTTTTATTCACAAAATCTGGAATTATCTATACAAATATCTAGATATTTAACTAATAGACTATTTTAAAACTTGAGCTTAATTTGGCTTACTTTAATAAATACAATTATTTTATGAATGCAGTTTTACCCAAAATCAAATTAAACTTCAATAAAGGGTGTGACATGCAATTACATCAAATAGTAATCAATAATTATATCTCATAGCCAGCGTAAACAAAACCAAATTACAACTACCAAATAAAGTATACATTAAAGATTTCAAAAGTTTCTTCATTAATTTTTTTCTTTCTTTCAGGTGTTTATGCGGTGGTGCAATCACTGGAAAACGCCTTATGGCCACCAATAACATTACTATTCATCACCGGAGTGATAAAATACACGGAGAGGACACGTGCACTATACACAGCGAGTTTAGACAAATTTAAAGACCGAATGCTTAAACCACCAGACGCTGGTCCTAACTACGCGAAGCTCATGGAAGAGTACAAATCAAGAAAAGATTCGAATCTCCCAACGAATATCATCCTCATCGAAGAACCGGCCAAACACGAGAGACCCCCAACTCTCGTTTTACCGGACCGACCAGACTTAACCGATCTCGAAATCGTTCAGTACGGTTTCAAATTCTTCGACACTTTCAAAGGTCTTGTCGTTGACCTAATTTTTACTTTCCGTGAGCGCGACGAAAGCCGAGATTTCTTCAAAGAGCTTAAACCGGAGGAAGCTCTTCGGATCATCGAATCAGAGCTCGGTTTTCTATACGAATCCATGTATACCAAAACCGCGATTCTCCAAACGGGATTCGGTACTCTGTCTCGAGTGATTGCGTTTGGATCGCTTCTTTCTTCCTTCTTTGTCTTCCATCTTAGACCTAAGAAATCCATGGATTTCCATGGAGCAGATATTGTGATAACTTACACTCTGTACATCGTCGGTATCGCTCTCGATCTCGTCTCCATGGTCATGTTCTTGCTCTCGGATTGGACATTCGCGAGACTGAGAAGGCTCAAGGATGATCCAGACGAGGAAAAGAAGAGTTGTGTTGACGACTTGCTCAACTGGTTACTCGCGTTTAGGAAACCGCGTTGGACGAAGCATCGATGCAAAGGAAACCGTATCCACGAGGTGCTCACGACGCGGTTCTTGCTTCGGAGATGGTCAGGTACGATCTACGGGTTCAGTTTCATCGGATACTGCCTCAAAGCCAAAGTCTCGAGAATCCATCAGAAGAGAATCCGCAGCGTTTTGAGCGAGTTCGTGCGTGAAACCGTGGTTTCCACGTTCGATTTCGTGATCAGAAGAACTCAGATGTTGGCTGGATGGATCGAGAACGTTGACAGATCAAACAGGATCTTCATCAGGAAATGGTCAAGGAGGAGCTGGATGGTTCGTTACACGGTTTATCCGTTGTACACCGTCTTCTTCTTGGGGATCCCTTGGGTTTTCGGAAAGCTTTGGGGCTACGTTGATCGAATCTTCAGCCTCAAGTCTCATCTAGACCAGATCAGATTCGTGTCCAGCGAGCCTCTGGCGAAGAATCAATGGGAGTTCATATTCAAGGAGCTGAAACATAAGTCGGAGTTCGCGGAGACTCCTGAGATCGCGAAGAAGGTGTCTTCGGCGAGAGGAGAATGGGCTTTGCGTGATACGAATGTAACGGAAGTCGAGAGCTTGATGCGTTATGTAGAGAATGTTGATTACGATCAAAGTCTCCTCCTTTGGCATATTGCTACTGAGCTCTGTTTTCAAACAGAGGAAGAGGAAGAGGAAGAGGAAGAGAAGGAGGTGGAGAATCGAAGCTGCGATGACCGCGAGTTCAGCAAGATTATATCGGATTACATGATGTATCTGCTGATAATGCAACCGAAGCTGATGTCTCAAGTTGCAGGGATCGGGACTATAAGATTCAGAGACACTTTAGCTGAAGCAGAGAGGTTTTTCAAAGGGAAGCAAGTCAAGAAACAGAGAGATATGAAAAAAGCGAGCAGTACTGTAATATCGGTTAGCAACTATATTGAACCGATACATGTGAAGGGAGATCGAAGCAAGTCGGTTCTTTTCGAAGCGAGTATGCTGGCGAAAGAGCTTCAGAAATTGGATGAGAGTAGTAGTAGCAGTAGTAGTAGTAGTGTCATCACTACTAGTAGTAGTAACAGAGATGGGAAATGGAGAGTGTTGAGCAAAGTGTGGGTTGAGTTGCTATCTTACGCGGCAAGTCATTGCGAAGCTACAGAGCATGTGGCGCAACTTAGCAGAGGTGGAGAGCTTCTTAACTTTGTTTGGTTGTTGATGGCTCACTTTGGTTTAGCTGATCAGTTTCAGATCAATAAAGGAGATGCTAGAGCCAAACTGGTTGTAGGAGAAGGAGAGTGATAGTTATACTTATTTGTGTGTGTGTGTGTATTTTGTAATTTATTTGTCTCTGTTTGAAATTTCTAAGCAATGTTCTTTTGATTTCTTTTGATTCAAAATTTGATTAAGGAAAAAAAGGTCCACCCTGGCAATTCATTTTTTTGGTTTGGTTTGGTTTGGTTTTATAAAAAAATGATTAATTCAGATTTATGTGAATGTTTAATTAGTTTTAGTAGATTTTGGTTTGAGTTATAAAATTTTCATTTAGGATTAAATTGTATTTGGAAAAATTGACATTTAAATATATCAAATTTTCAAATTTCAGTCAATTTAACCATTAATTTTCACGTGATTCATTTAAATAATAATTTTTTTTGTTGATTGAGTTTTAAATCACAAATTTATGTTTATTTAGTTATATAGGCATGATGTTAACTTCATCAACAAATTGACTAAAGCCATTTAATTCTCGTCTGTTATTCACCAAAATTTAAAAGTTAAGTATTTAAGTAGCATTTTTTTTTTGCTTAACGTCAACTTCTATTTCTAATGAAAGAACATCTAAAATTTAAGATTTTGTAATGTGGAAGATTAAGGATCTCAAAGTTTTTGAAGTCTGTGATTAGCAATAAAACTCATGTATTACTAATGAAAGAGTATTTTTACAGTAATCTATCAAGGTTCTTGAAATACCTAACACACGTATCATTTAACAATGTAATTTTCCAAATAAAATCCAAATACTTCAAGATGGTAAGGTTAATTTAATTCTCTCCACGACTTGAAAATCAAATGTTTCAGCAAAACTGTAATCATGAGTGATAAATTATCACCGTTTTAAGATTTTTCTATTTACTAAACCTAAATTCTTGTTATAATAGCACCAAGGAGGTAGAACAAGTTTTTTTTATGTTTGGCATCCTTAGAAAAAAAAAGAAAAAATAGTATGAAACGTATACATCACATCTGGTTTTATGATTCATTCGTGTAGATATAAAAGTATTGTGATGCTGGAGACACTAGTCCTACACAATTAGTCGTTAGTCTTTCTTAATTATAGATTGCATTTAACTAAGTCATTTCTTCATCTCAACTTATGTGCATAAATTTAGGGTTTTGTAAAATTTGTAAATTGTTAAAAAAATCTTTTGATGTGGTTAAATTGATGTTTTAAAGTTAAACTCAACTTAAACTTTTGTTGTTGTTGTGTACTTCAAATTTGATTTATGTTTAGATAAAAAAATTCATTTTTATTTAATTGGTTTAGATATTATGTAAACTGATGAAATAGAAGTTATCATTTATCAGTTAGTAGAAAGAAAGGAAAAATGTCAAAATTTTAAATTTCGACTAAGTTTCGCATAGATAGTCTAAACAACAAACTTTTATGTCGACTATATTTTAAATCACAAATTTATGTTGAATGAGCTATATTAGGCTTGATGTTGACTTAATAAGAACTAAATTAGGTAATAACCCGCACCCTGTGCGGAGTAAAATAATAATTATTTATTTAATATAGTATAATTTTAAAATCATATAACAAAATACAATTGATTTTAATATTGAAAAAATAATTTTTTTGTTTATTTTATAAAATATAGGGTAATTTAATTATAATGTAAATTAGTTTAAAAATTAAATATATATGCGCAAACTGGATAGAAATACGAAGTTGCTCTTTATATTTTCTATAACTCATGATTGATAACATGATCTTAAAATTAAAAAAAAAATAGAGGGAGTATATTTTGATTAAATTATTAAGTATCTAATGTGTTATGATAATAATAATAAAAATTTACTACTTTCTCTGTTTCATGTAGATATATTTTTTTAAGGTTTTGTTTTGTTTCACAATATAGTTGTTTTCAATTGTTTTACTACTTCCTATGAATACTATGTAACCGATTATATTTTCAGTTTTTCATAATTAGTTGAATTGTATTTAATTTATATACTAAATGATTACTTTTTAAAAAAAAGTTGTTTTTTAATTTTTGTGCTTTGATGCAAAACAACTTATATTTTGAAATAGTAAGTATTAAAATTGTAAAAATAAAATTTGATTATAAAATTTGATAATCAATTTTAATATTTCTTATATGAATGTAAATGCATATTAATCCGCAAAAAGCTATAGTCATAAGAATATTAACTTTTAAGAGAACAAAATACTATGAAATTTATTTTAAATACTAAATATACATAAGGATTATATAAAAATAGATTATACTTTTTATTATTTTTAATAAATTATGTAAAATTGTATATAACTGAGTCAATACTTATACATTCTTAACTTTTTGATTCAATAAAATTATTTTTAATATCAAAAAGTTTAATAAAATTATTATATTATATCTTTACAAAAATAAATTAATTTTTTTACCAAGTTATTTTGTTGTATAAATTAAAAATTTATGATATTTAACTTTTTAATCAAATAATATTTATAATATTATATTCTATTAACATATTCAACTATTTTTTATTGTTCAACTTTTTATTAATAATTTGTACTTATTATAAAGTTTAAATATTTATATTATTTGGTTAATTTATATGGTTCTAAAACCATATGAAACCAAAAATAATTATAATAATAATATCTATTAAATTAAGTTCCTGTTTTTTTGTCATTTATGTATTTTTATATTGATTTATGAATCATCTACTACACATCCTTATTTTCAATTTTAGTATTTCAAAATTATTTTTATTTATTAATCATTTGAGTAATTTATATTTTTTTATGAAATTCGAATTAAGTTATAACACAGAATATATATATATATATATATAGATATATATATATATTATTATATGAATGATGTGATGATTTATTTTTTTACAAAAATAAAAGATAAAATATAGTATTTAAAGAAATAATTAATATGATATATTTTTGGTAAGAAATAGAAAAAGAGAATATCTTGATGAATCATCATCAATATAATTGATATAAAATAATGTATAACCAAATTAATGTGAGTGGCATAACATGTAATTAATCTAGTAATATAAGTCTATTTTTATAACTTTCTGAAAATGATTGTGGTGATGACACATCAGCAAAATGGCACCACTGTAATATTTTATAAAATTAAAGTTATTTTTTAAAAATGCTTCTCTTTTAATATATATGGGATGTTTATTTATTAATAATCTGAGTAATTTATATTCAATTTTTAAAATTCAAATTATAATACATGTATAAAAATCTATATATTTTTTTATTATATGAATGATGTATAAGTTTAAATGAAAATAAGATAAAAAAGATTTTTGGTAGAAATATAATTAAAAAAATAATTAATATGATATATTTTTGGTAAAAAATAAAAGAAAGAGAATATCTTAATAAATTAAATGTTGATTTAAAAATTAGACATAACATATTTATGGACCTAAAATACACAATGGCATATCATGTAATTAGTCTAGTAATCTAAGGTTTTTTTAAAAAATTAGCTCAGAATGAATGTGGAGTTGACGCATCAGCATAATGACACCACTGTAAATACTTACAAAAATAAGGTTATTTTTGAATTAATATATTACTTATATCTAAATTAGATTAGTGAATGCGATAAATTAAATTAATCATATTATTAACATATATCAAACACAATAAAATTTATTTCCATTAAAATTATTAATAAATTCTCAATTACCTCATAATTATATTGTATTAAATAATAAATATTATTTATTGTATACTAAATTTTGGAAAGAGTCTAAATTATGAGCTAATTAAAAATTTACTTTTGGAAAAAGTCAATTAAATCGAATTATAATTATTTACTTTTATTTAGAATGATTACAATGAACTCAAATTAGAATCAACTTTTATAATGATTATAATGAACTCAAATTATAATAATTTATGTTTATTTATTAATAATCTGAGTAATTTATATTCAATTTTTAAAATTCAAATTATAATACATGTATAAAAATCTATATATTTTTTTATTATATGAATGATGTATAAGTTTAAATGAAAATAAGATAAAAAAAAGATTTTTGGTAGAAATGTAATTAAATAAATATTTAATATGATATATTTTTGGTAAGAAATAAAAGAAAGAGAATATCTTAATAAATTAAATGCTGATTTAAAAATTAGACATAACATATTTATGGACCTAAAATACATAATGGCATATTATGTAATTAGTCTAGTAATCTAAGGTTTTTTTTTAAAATTAGCTCAGAATGAATGTGGAGTTGACACATCAGCATAATGGCACTACTGTAAATACTTACAAAAATAAGGTTATTTTTTAAAAATTCTTCTCTTTTAATATATAGGGGATATATTAAATCAACCTGTTAATAATATTAACGTTGTGTCTAATATGACCAAGTCAATATAAATTTGCAATTTAAAATTGAGTAATTGCATTATATGGCTGCGAATACAATCAAAATTTGGTCCACGCTGCAGCTTCGAAGTCACCATTTACATGAATTTTTTGGGACCAAAATCTCCCTACGATGGCATAGCCGTCCCTATCGAATATACATAATTGCAATGGACCCCACACCTGACAAAGCGACAGCTATATCCAACAGGCGAATTTTGGCATCACCCACACACTAACTATTAATTACTGTCCACACCAGAAAGCGACTTTGTTCTGGACGCCGAAGAGTCTTTAGGTTTATTGTTAGTCAGAGCAGCCATTCGATGTCACCCAGCAAGAAATCTACAGCCCCCTCGGAGATGGTAAGTATAATCTCAGATGCTTAGTGCAGATCCTTTTCACAATTTCAATTGATCCAATGTTTATATTTTACCCCTCAAGGAGCAGCATCACCAGACCTCCCTCCTCGGATGATAGCTGCCGGCCATAAACCCTTCGGCCATCGGGTGAATGTTTATCAGAAATGTGGCCTTGTCGAACAAATTAGAGAGTCGACGCAGCGGAGTTAGAATATATCCGAAATTCCCCACTCGAACAACTCCTCGACATCCCGGGTAAACCGGCATGGTCTGGCGCTTTTGGATTGTTCCTCATGTCGCGGCAGTTGCAAGTGGCCCGCAAAAACGAGATCTGGATACTGTTTGCTGTATGATTTTTGCTCAGAGAGTTCAAATTGGTAACTGGGTTGCGGTGTGGCAAATACCCGATGAAAGATAAAAAGCGCAGACCAGCTAAGTCCACGGCGAAGGAGACTTTCTATGAGAAACTGTTCGGCGGGGTGGA